AAAAAAGCTTGCACACCTCTGTAAAGCAGAAAAGCACTTCAAGGCAAAGGATTGATGATAAATGAAGCTTAATTAAAGCACTGTCTGTTAGTCCAACGTCACGCTGATCATATATAAAAGCAACTGCCTTACCGTACACCTTGTGCTCGTGGTAACTGTTAGAGTGAATTCCTCGGAGAATTCCAAATCGGGGATGGATGCAGCATTGCAGTCGATACGCTATTGAAAGGAATAATACAATTCTCTCAATAAAACTGCTAAATTAAAATTCAGATCTCTGGCTGGTTAAGCTTCCTAAGTTGTTGAGATTCAACAAAAACTTTTCAAGGCAGTACCAATTCAGCCCTTCAAAAGTGGGGAGAAGAGCCTTAAATATGATCCGACCAGGCACCCAAAACTGTTCATCCCCAAATAAGCAGACACTCCAATAGTGGATTATTTAATTCGCCAGGTTAGATGGTTACTTGTCACAGAATGGGCCAGGTTGAAAGAGTTTTCTGAAGATCACACAGCCCCGTACTCAAAGTGTGGTCAACTACAGCAGATTGCTGCCCACTCAAGTCTTACACAGATACATAAAGGGAGACTCTGCAACCTCTCTGGGCAAACTTTCCCTATATTTAACTGCCCTCAGGGTTTAAACATAAGTTTTCTTATGTTTAAACAGAATTTCTTTCCTATGTGTTTCGTGTATTTCCATTTGTGCCTATTCCCTGACACTGGGCACCACTGAGAAGAGTCTGGTTCCGTCCTGCTCACATCCTACCAGCAGTTCCTGACGCACTGCGAGGATCCCCCTTGACCTGGGCTGAAGAGCCCCAGCTCTCGCAGCCTCTTCTCACGTCCAGATGATCCAACCCCTCATTCACATCCACGGCCCTCCTCGGGGCTCCCTGCACTATGGCCAGGAGAGCGCAGGGCTTGGACGCAGCACTCCAGCTGGGATCCCGGCACAGGAACCAGCCTCCTTAGATCTGCTGGCAATGCTCTTCCCAATGCAGTCCAGGAGGCCGCTGGCCTTCCTTGCTGCAGGAACGCATGGCTGCCTCGTGGCCAGCTTGTCCCTCAAAAACCCTGACTCCTCTTCTGCAGAGCTGCATCCCACACGACTTGCCATCATCCCATATCAGTGCACGCAGCTTCTGCTCCCCAAGCGCTGGACTCTCTGCTGCCCTTTGCTGAACTGCCTAGGTTTTCTGTCTCCTGTTTCTCCAGCCTTTCCAAGTACCTCGGTGGCAGACACAACCTTCTGGTATGTCAGAATATGAAGCATCTTTGCAGCTCAAGCACTGACAGACAACACTGCAAACATCGTATACATGTTGTCATTTATTTATGATGCCTTTTCTTTCTCTAGGGAATAACATCCCGCAGTTACATCACAGACTACTCAGAACAAGGAGCATCTCATCTGACCAAGCACACAACTATCTTCTGCACAAACCGATGATAAATTGGAACATATTAGAAGTTTCCCTCAAAATACAACCCATTTGTTATGTGGAGTAGTTATTGATTAAAACTGTTTACCCTATAACACTATTATTGTTCCACTCATTAATTTTCATAGTTTGCTAGAGTTACAGTACAACCGAGCAAGATGCGCTGGCTTTTGATTATTTTAAAACATGATTGTTACTGAAACCAAGTACGTACAAAACCATCGAACACAGCAGGTCGTTGCACTGCTCCACGATGACAGAGCACACATACCTGCACTGGGCCCACAACAGCATGCACCTATAAAAGGGGCATAAAGCATTACCTGGCAAGTATAGATTCCATACATTCATAGGAACAGGGCTCTTTATGGCCTAATATTTCCAGTCCCATAGTATGCATTTCTTTCCACTAACCACAAAGGAAGTCTCATCAGCTCGTTAGGATGATAAAATGTAAAGCACTGGTAATGACAGATGCCCATGGAAGTTTAGAGAAAAATTCTAGATACGCGTTCAGACTTTAAACGATGCGCAGGAAGTGAGACTAAAAGACATCTTGGTCCTGAGAAATCCTCCATTTTTTTCAGGAATCCTGAAAAAGTTGTCTAGGATTCTTTATTCCTTAGTTAAGAATTAAAAAGTCCCCCCCAAAATGAGAGATGCCTGAGACAACCAAATCGGTTATCCAAATAAAGAAAATATCAGTGTATTTCTTATGTTTGAATGTTTGACTTCCAATAACCATTTTGACTCTTTTCTGGAACACAATCACCCACTGAAAAAGCTTAAACAGTAACTTGCATCAGGACGGACTGCTTTAAGAAAAAACTGCACTTAAGCTGCTGCTGCTCCTGCGGGCAGGGTGATAACCGACCACAACACGCAGCATCTGCGCTGGGAGACGGGACCTACCTCAGAATGGTGTGGGGTTGGGCAGCGAGCTACGACACACCGTTTCCTTCTACACAATAGCACAGGAATTAATCTAATCACAAACTAAATCTTGACCTAACAGGCAGCGGTTCCCACCGAAGGGCAACAGCCCTAACTTTCTTAATGCAGAAGGGTAACTATATGAACAGCTAAAATGCCATTGCAGCACAATACCTCTGAGCCAAAACTAAGCCACTGCTGCTCTACCATCCGACCTTAATTTAAGAACTTGGCAGATGCCAGCAAATTCCTCCTGAGTAGACTAACACTCACAGGACAGCTCCTGTAATTATGACCATCAATTTCCAGGCATATTATTTTAACCAATCAGGTTACAGAAGTTGTAGGTTAAAGAAATTATAGAATAAGTTTACATCGCTTTAAGAGTTCAAATATCTGAGGATAACTTTGACGGTGAGAAAATACAATCTCTCATGTGATCTGAACTGTTCCAGCCATTACTAAGCGGAAAGTTCTTAGGACTTTGAAATCAGTGCTCTGGATGTGAATCTCATCACTTCAGTGTTCTTAAACTCGTGTACAAAGAGAAACCCTGGCCACAGAGAAAAGCTTCTTGCCTAAGATGAACTGCTATGGAAAGACAACACAGAGTCAGCATAAAAACGAACTCCATGATTACTGCTGTTTTTCCAGTCCCAGAAGCCATTCTGTTTGATGAAGCTATGGGAAGGACGTGAATGATCTTCCAGCAAAAGATCTCTAAAAATCAGCCAACTTTACACAGAAATACATAAGCTCTCCTGTAACTCAGCGTTCTCGCTCAGGAGAAGGGGGAAGGAAAGGAGGGCAGACTGTATGCTCCAGAGTTTTTCCTGTAGGAGTTTCAACTATGCATCATTCCAGTCACTAAAAAACAGGTAAATCTGGTTTTGGATAGAAAAAAATCTAGAAGAGACATGTTAGGAAAAGAGTCTACTTCATTATGAACTAAACCTTGGTTAAAAAGTAACAAACACAAGTCAAAGTACTCACACTGAGTACCTGATCACATTTCTTTCACTTGGAAGATGCTCAAGTTAAATACATTTTCTCTGTACTGAATAAGCATGTATTTTAGACAAGGAATGGAAAAAAATTAAACTTTAAAAAAATCTTACTACTATCAGTTTTAAAAGCATGGTACCTTAATGACACTGGCTGTAGAGATAATCGTGGTTGGATCCAGCACCTCCACAACAGCTTCTGGAATTACTGCCTTCTTCATGCAAGACATGTCAAAGCCATATACATCTTCCCAGAAAACTAACTTGTCCATATGTTTATTCATATCCCCCACAGCTACTAGACTAATGGTGCACATGTCAGGATAAACTGTAACAACAAGAAATAGATTAGCAAATTTTTCTTTTTGACATACCTAAGGAAAGATTTAAGAGTTATTCTTCTTGTTTTTAAGTGATTAGTGTCTTAAAAGAACAAATAAAAGAGTTCATTTCTGCTCTGGTAAAAGACGATTATTTTCTTTATTTTTCTTTATTTATTTTTCTTTAGTTGTGGAGTTCCACAAAAGAGTAGACACTGGAATTTAATTTCTGCCCTCTACTCTGGTAACAGCATCACTGTTCATGAGAAGGTGTCACCACGGAAGGTGTCACGAACACAAATACCCCGGATCAATACTGATCAACAGCAAAAAAACCCCAAAGCTTGTTCTGACTTCAGAAAGGCGATTTCTACAACCAGCAGAGTATCAAATTCTCCATTTATAGACCCAAATGCATCTAGACATCTACATCATATTGATTTTTGACTAGAATGTATATGTTGATCTAGGTATCTGTCAGAACCATCTAAATACAGAAGCATTTTGTAATTCTTTTTTTTGGGGGGGAAAAATAATAAAGCACCCCCCGTTCTTTCAACACTGTTGTCCTGACAAACTTGTCACCTTTTTTTTTTTTCCCCTGACTAAAGCTGTAATTCAGTAACTATTCCTCCTCACGGGTTAAATGAGGAAAATGCTGATTAGACAAAAGCAGGTAGTCGGTCATGCTTTCACCGATTCCCAGTTTTGACATCTGTGTCCTTCTCGACTCAGTGCCCAGAAATCATTTGTCACTAGTAACAGCTCACGTGGTAACCAGAATAAGCTGGGAAATCCATTACCCCTTCGTAATGCCTCAGGCTTCAGGACCAAAGGCTTACTCAACAAGCCTCTGGATGCACAGAAATAACTCCAAGGTGAATATTGGCAATATTTTGATGCAAACAAGCAAGAACAGTTAGGTTTGATGTTCCCAAATCAAACTGTTATATACTGCTTACGGTATAACGCTACACAGTTTGGCATCACCCACGTCACTGTGTCATAGATTAAGTCACAGGAGCCACGATAGGATGGACGGGGCACAAACGTGGGTATTTAGGTTCTCTTTCTAGCTCGGTCCCTGAAAGGTTTGCGCAGGGAAAGGCTGCTCCTCTCGACTTGCTCAGCTTTTAAATGGTCCCCCTACTGTGAGACAGTACCAAGTGGCTTGTGACAACATGAAACTTGAGAGCAGATGCAGGAGGTAGACTTCACCTCGGAAGGAGCTTTCCATCCGACTCAGCAGGATCTGGGCATGCCCACAGATCTGATGCTATTCACATATACCCTAAAAGCGTCTGTCTGACTAAATTTCAACTGATCCCTGGGCAATTCTGGCAGGAGTCTCCGGGACAGGTATTTACCTGCCCTGCAAGCTGGAACAAAAGTAGCAACTGCCAGCACCTCAGGTAAACAGTGACTGTGTGCTTTGTGGAAGGGCAGAGGGGCAGGGGAAAAAGAGGAAAAAAAAAAAAAAAGGTGGGGGGAAAAAAATAAAGCATTAGACGATTCATCGAGCACAAACAGTTAAATATGCTGCAGAGCCAGCAGGCTGCTCCCCAGCAGAGAATTCAAACCAGAAAAAAACAACTTAGCTCATGCCTCTGTAGCACCAGCAAACCTGCACTGGTGCCAGTGGACCCTAGAAGCACAAGCTCCAGACAGTTTCAACAGAGGTTTAAAAAAAAAATCTAGCTAAACAAAATGAAATAAACATAAAATGCCTCCCTACAACCTCACAGGGTGACTGTTGCACTGGGATAGGCACACCCCTACGCAGGGCTCACCACAGCTGCATGCGAGACCTGACTGGAGAATTCTAACTGCTGAAAGCAAAACACTCCCATCATGTTGCTCAAGGGCTTTTCTAAGGGTTCTAGCATGCAAACGGTGCTACCCTGCTTGCATATGTGGCTTCTTTACAAGCCAATGTGAAACAGTTCCTGTTCTCGCTCGCCGGGAAGCACCATGGAGCGCAGGCACGCGGTACTTCATCCCAGCGTTAGGGCAGCCGAGCGAAGCTAACTACGTGCAGGGTTAGCACAAAGGAAGGCAGAAACACCCTGACGACTGCGACTGGAAAAGTCCACGTGAAATACAATTACTGACAGCAAAACGAAAAACCACGCAGAAGCAGTGCGAAAAACAGCATCACGCAGGTAATAAATAATTACGGCCCTTCGTGCACTGCTTAAAACGAAGCCACCTAAGCTGCCTAAGGGTAAAACGCACTGCTACAGAGTTAAAGCCTCTTCCTCACTTCTCCGGCCATGCAGAGAAAGGTTATATTCCCACAGGGATAGAGCAAACACGCTGAGCGGCAGCAACGCCACTGCCCTAGTTAAGGAACAGGGCTTCCCACATTTGAATTCATGTGTCCTCCGCATGCATCTTCTCTCCAGGTCCAAAGCACCCAACCCGTTTCCTTCCCAGTCTTCTCTCTCTGCAGTAGCTTACTCAGAGATGGAATGAATAAAAATTGTTCTCCTCTCTGTTGACAGCTTTTCCTTCCCCTTTATCTTCTTTGGCCATTTACATATTTCCTTTCCTAACCCAATGTGTTAGGGTACAGCATCCATCTACAATGCAAGTGATTTTATGGGAAGTTATTTGCCAGCAATATTAGGTATGCAGTTCAAATTCCTTTTTCTATCAACCCTTAAAATACATTTAAAAAATCTCAACAGATCTCTCAACTTTTTTTGTTTAATGGTAAGATCCTCCTCCTATCTTGAACAATACCCATTTCCACCACTCACCAGTCAAAATACACAAAAGGCTCAGTAAAAGTTGAAACACTTTAATACTTCAGAACTGGAAAGAAATACTAGAATTCACAGTTCAATATGTTAAGCCAAAATCTATATTGTAATTCTAAATAAAGTATACTACCCCGCTTACTAGCTTAGAAACATACTTTGGGGGGGAAACAATATATTTTGGAGGCCATATGTAACGTTGGTAACCATCAGCAATGAAACAAGCTAGCCCGACACACAGATCTGGATCCATTTCAGCATGTGCATAATTCCATTTAAGCTGCTTCTGAAGCATTGACACTCCCCATACGCCACTAACTTGAACTCTGTCAATATAATCCAAGATCACAAGCACCATGTCAATGCTTTGCCAATGCAAACCGTCCTTCAGACTTTCTTCTGGGTTCTCTGGATGACACTTTGGATGTGCACGCACGGACTGCTGCACAACCAGGTGGCAACACATGTTTCACTAAGCACATGTAGGGCTTGAAGAAAGGAAACGAAGTCTGAGGTTGGCTTCCTGAAGGCACCCGAGTCTGCCAAGGCATCCTGAAGACGCAGGCAGGCCAGGAAACGCACCCAAGTGTAAGAACTGCTAAGTTACACCACTCCGTGGGGTAAATGAAAGCCTGAGGGAAATGAGGGTTGCGGTACTGCCATTTCGGAACAAATGTGCAGTAAGGAGGTGTGAAACCAACTGCGAAGGGCAGCGCAGCTCCTACTGCTCCCAGCTCAGTCCTTTGGCCAAAGGCATTAACCTGATTCATACATGTATTTGCTATTTGCTAGCTTTCTGAATTGATTTTTAAAAATCGATACTAAAACTCCATTTCAAGCATTGGGAGCTAAAAAAGCAGAGACAGGGATTTGGGGGTGAAGGGGAATTAAAGCTTTCTTGAGAGCTGCTGTGCAGTCCTGCAGATTTGGAAAGGTTTGAAAACCAGCACTGCACCTTGGTTAAAACAATTCCAGAAATCCTTAAGGGCCCAGCTAGGCAAGACACACTCTTTTCCAAGCTGGTAAGAGGATCTAGGAAGAATATAGTCAGCATTCCAAATGTTACCAGCTGGAAATTGAGTAATAACACTTTTAGTTTACACCCTAACTACTATCATTAAGGAAAACAATGTCTTGGAAAATAAGTATTTATTTTTAAATGTGAAGTTCCTCCATTTACTGCTAGAGATTTTTCTTTGCCGGGAGGGAGCGGCAAAAAGAACTGTGGGAAGAAGTAGGAAAGATATTTAGATGGCAGTTCCAAATAAGATATCCTTTATTCTGAAAAATACCATCATCCTGAATCCTTGATGCCCCAGCTAGTGCTCTTCTATTACCCACAGAGCAAATTAATGCCTTGAAGCTCCCACTAATGGAAACGTATTTCATTTAGACTGGCAGCTTCCTCATCCATGCATAGCGTATTCTAAGTCTCTCTGTTCATTTAGTTTTCCCCCAGAGCTAAATTTATTAAAAAGAATTAGGCACACCAACCTGAGCCTCCCTCTGCCAGGTACTTGTCCTTTGCGTAAATAACGGAATCCAGCATAGACTCAAAGAGAAGGAAATATCCCTGTAACAGAACAATAAAAGAGAAAGAATTGACAAATCATTGTATTTTTTTAATCCATGCAGTATATCTAATCAATCTACACGTAAACTTCATCCATACTTTTTTGTCTCAAAAGCTTCATACAATTAAATGTAAGAGTTTAAGAAGTTATTTGCCTGTAAATCTTAATAAGAGCCAGTGCCTAATGGATTTGCTAAAACAAATTGCAATGCATAGCTACGTAAGCATAATTCTCCCTATTAAACAATATATTAAAAAAATATTAGCAGATAATAAGTGATATCTTAAAGATTATTTATTTTCCTGCCTAAAATGCCTGTCATCCACCATGTTTGTCAATCGAAGTAGTATAGCTCAAAAACAAAGCTTCTAACCAGAAACACTGCTTAAATCCCTGCGCTTTCCCTAGCCTTTCCACTGGGGCACTGTGGGTTTTCTTCACTCCTTAGTCCTCCATTCCCCTCAGTGCTCTGCAACGTTCCTGTAAATTATATAAACTGTCGTTGGTAGTGAATTAAGTCATTTATTACCTACACCAAAGCGTTTTGCTCCCTGTGCTGTGCTCATCTGCAGTGTAATTCAGAATGTAATTTCACAGGCCGCTGCCTCACCTGTAGGGGTGCCATCTGGAAGGAGAATTACACCTCATGTTTGCCCCCTGTTAGGCCATGGGGCTCTCTTACCTTCCCACCAACGCTGCTCCGAGTTGGGGGTTTTCTTCCATGTGCATCAGCACCCTCACAATTAGCTGCTGCCAAGAGAGGCCACCAGACAAACCGGCCAGCAGAACATTACCAACTCCACCTCGCTAATGGCTAAACTAAACACCTGGAAGGCAGCACATCCTCAGGGCAGCCTCGCTGCGCAGTGCGCCTCAAGGGTCATGCCACCATGCGATGCGCCTGCTGCTAAAAAGCTAACTGCTTCTCCCTACAAAGGGAACGAAAGGCTTCTTACTTCTACCTTTCCAAGGTCTAGGCTATGGGGAGTGTACTCCAGCTGCCAAAAACCATGTAAACATATTCAAAGAATAACAGAAATGCACAGAAGTCGGAACAAGCGATAGAAAATACCCATGAGTCCAGTGACAAGAGGCATGCCAATACCATTACATATCCCTATTTCTGTATTTTGTGTGTTTTAACAGTATTGTAAAAGGTTCACGAAGCTTCTCTGGCTTCATATCATGCACTGCTATTTTAATTCAGAAACCATGGAGAAACATTTTACAAAGAGAGCAAAACCTACATATAGGAAGAACTTCTAACAAGAGCACTTCAGTATTCAGCGTACTATTCTTCATAGAGAAAAAAAAGGGTCATAGCATGTTCACAGTCTGAAGAACCAGCACAATTTTTAGCATGTAAGGATATAGCTAAGAAGCAATACATACCTAATTCAGCAATCACATTTTATTATATTTTTCTTCCTACACAACTGGATGTGGCCTGGTACTTGAGGTGCAGTAAGGCACAATATTGAATCCGCTGCAAGATGCAAGGCAGCTGGCAAACAACTGGCCCATACTGCGAGCTTTACCAAAACCCAGCACACGCCCCAGAAGCACCAGCATCGCCCCTCACCCGCGTCAAAATGGGGTGAAATTCCTTAAATGAAGCTGCTGCCTCCACTGGTCTGCATAGTGAATGGTAACATATGAATATTTTCCTGCAATGAAAGATAATTCCCTTACTCTTCTGAAAAGAAACTAATGTATTCAGCTACTTCAGTACGCTCTCTACGCAGCATTAAAAAAGCAGAAATACCTCAATTCCTAGATAAAATATTTTACTGTGTTATAAAAATACATCAACTGCAGCTCCAAATGTTAATGGAAGGTCAGGACTGAAGGGAAAATAGCAAATAAGTGTTAAAAAAGCATCACTGCATTCTATCCATCATGGAAATATGTAAGGAAGGGAGGAGAGAAAGGAGGGAAGATTTGCCATTATTTTACACACACACACACACACACACACTTTCATTTCCTACTCCTGAGCAGCAGAAATATCCTGATGGGTTGGAAGATACCACTTCAAAATTATCCAATTGGAAAAAAAAAAGAGTTTGTTTTCAAGCAAACTCAACTAAGTTTTATATTCTTAGCTACATAAGAGGAAAAAACACCTAGCATTCTAGAAAAAAACATATACATGATAAAACAACCACCTTGGTGTACACCGAGAGCTACAGTTTTTCTCCTGACATGGTAAAAATCGAATAATTTCACTCAACACCTGTTTTAGCACTTTGCAGAGCAGCTCTCCGTTCACACTTAAGTACTGGATGTAGAATTGCTTAATTACTGCAAAACATCATTGCTTCTTTAAATTCTATACCTCCAGGGAGGGGGCATAAGTGTGAAAAAGCCTGTGAACAAGTCTACTGTATGCCCAAGTCATGCTAACATAAGTACTTGCCCACTAAGCATACAAGTAACATGGCATTCCAGTCAAAATCCCAGCCTTTGCACACTTCCAAGGCATTTGTAGACTGGATCACTATGCGAGAAAGGATTTTATTCATTACACACAGGCAAAAAAAAAATTACTGATGTGTACTCAGAACTGTGTTTGCATGAGATTGCCATTAGGCAGCGTATGCAAATATTTGTTTCTTTTTATTTGTACCTTGGCTTGTACACACAACTCATTTAATTCTATAATTTGAATTATAAAAAAAAGGGAAGATTTACTTGTAGTCTTCCCACAACACAAGCAAGCAGAAGTATTTTATTATTAAAAACAGAAGAACAGGCTGCAGTTTAGCCTCCGTGTGTTCCTTTTTTTTAAGGCAACATGGTTCCCCAGGTAGTGGTGGCTCTGTAGTCTAAAAAGGGGACCTTAATCTTTAGCAGTCAGCCTTTCAGATACAAAAAAGAATCACCTGCAGCTCATCACATCTTCCTCATCTTTCAAATAGTTATTAGCTACTGAGAGAGCATATATAGGTTTTAAGTATGATTTGGCTTTGTATGTGTATGTAGATTCTTGCACATACTTACACACTACGTGATATTGGAGATGCTTCTCCCACTCCTGGATATTTTTAGATAACAAATCAAAAGGTCAAAGAAAAGGGAGAAGAGAGGTCCATAGAAGCTGCAGGGCACTCACAGAAGCAGGAGGATGATCCTCAGAAATCACCTACTGAATGTTGCTCTAAATGAAGAACTGAAAGGGGACAAATGTTGGGTGGTTCTTGGCGCCCACACTTAGCACTTGCAACACTCAACCAAGTAATCAACCAATTTTCAAGCGTGCGCTTTCTCATATTAGCGAGCGATTTCACTCCAGTGCGTATCACACAGGAAAGGAAAGACAAAGGGAAATTCACCCACTAGTGAAAATGGACAGCACTAGAAACCCAGACAAAGGTAAATTATTTGCATCTAGACAAAAATATGGCTTTGCTCGGGCTGTGCTGGAATAGTTTGTACAGTGTCCCACTATCAATCTTACCTCCGTTGCATTGTCCTCTTTATCTCTGTACTGCAGCAACCTATAAAAATGCTAACGGTCCTAATTAATAATTCCTAATATTTAAAAGTCCTAATTTAGTTGAATGTACATGGCTATATAATTAAGATATTTAAAGGTAAATTAGCACAGAAATGGGAAACAAGGAATGTTAAACACTTCATTCTTTACATGAGCTGCTTCTCAAAATCCTCTATTTCATCATGAGGGGCACAGATTTACAATGCATCTTAAGCTCTTAAAAGCTTTAAAGTCAGATCTTGGGCTCCTGAATAAGAAAGATGTTTTGGGGGACATAATCCTTGGTGCACACATTAGGCAACTGAGGAGAAAACTCTCTGTAAGAACTGCAGTTACATTTCAAAAGCCAAAAGCCTCTGCTCTCTGAAATCCCCAAGCACAATGCACTGCTTTGAAACAACCAGTGTCAATGACTGAAACCTGCTTTGAAACTGCTGAATTCAAGAGTAGATACCAAGCTCGTGCTTCAAATAAGATGCTTTAGACAACTGAGGCATAACATTAGTACACTTCTGAAATAGGTAATATAAAAATCATAGATGAAATGAAGCTAAAAAAGTAGTTCTATATTTGCCTGGCAACTTACTGGATACTAGGAATCCGTATCTAATGGGTCCCAGATTGTTGAACACCCCAAATTCACCGAAAAAAAAAAAAAAAAAAAAAACCACACACCACTTCAAATGAAAGTTTTCATTATTGATCTTAAATAAGAAAAAAAAAATCTTTAAGTTCAAACAGTGGGAACCAGTATGAAAACAAAGAGTTTTGAAGAGTTGTGCCCTCGTGGCCAAGGCCCACGGGCTCCTGGCCGCCTCAGGAGCGTTGCCAGCAGGGCGAGGGAAGGGATCCTGCCCCTCTGCTCGGCGCTGGGGAGGCCGCCCCAGAGCCTGTAGCTGCTCAGCCAAAAGTACCACCTTCCAGAGATAAAAAGCTGTTCCCAGAACAGCTTACCCGTACTTGAAACAACAGGAACAAGAGGGAACAGAAACTACACTGCAGTATCATCTACAGGACTGTCATCACATCTCCCGTGTTTTCAAAAATTCTTCTGCAAGCAGAACAAATTTCGGGTAGAAGTAGCAACACTTTAAGAATCATTTTTCAAATGAAATACAGCACTGCATTTTCTTTCCTCTGAAAGTAACTGTTTTGAAAAGAATATTCATATATCTTACCATCCATTCAGATATAATTACATCCACTTTTTCCAAAGGCAGATCTACTTCTTCAATTCTTCCTTTGACTAATGTAATGATATTTTCGAGTTTATTTAACCTGAAAGTCACAATTTAAACAAGTTAGTTTGTATTTCCATTTTACTGTCAGGAGAGATATATTAATGTTTACATTTGCACTCCTTCCCCAATGCTTCCTCTTTCAAAAACAATCTACGAAAAATCAAAAACAACGAAAAGACCCCCCTAATCTAGACAGCACTACAGTATTTCTTAGTTATATTTCAGAGGGAATATTCTCACATTTCCAAAAGCTGCGGCAGATGAACTGCCAGGGAAATGTGGCAGACAGCAGATCTGTACCTCTCTGATGCGCTGTGCATGCAAATGCGTAGACAGCAGAACGTGAAGGTAGAAGGCAATTTAAAATGACTCTCCTCCTCTTTAGAGTTGCTAGTTCCCAGTTCTCCTCCTCTGACCCTTGTAGAGCAAGTCTATAGTGATTAGAGTCTACTCATCACACTAGGATAGCAATGGAAATTAGCTTCCTTACAAAGATGTTTTGCACGATTTGTTTTTTTATTAAACAAAACCAGCTGCAAAGTCACAGAGAACAAACGTTCCCCTTAGATCAATATTACAGTTATTCCATAATAAAGGCATCTTCCCCGTTGTGCACCTAGCCAAAGTCATCTGCAATGCCTGGTAACCGCAGCAATCCCGTATAACCTCTTATGCAGTATGAGCATATCTGCATGAGGAGGAAGACGCTATGATGCGATTATGGTTTTGGAAATAAAAACTACATGACAACAAAACCGCTGAATACTCGAGTCCTTGAAACCATTCTCCCTCGATAAACCACATCGATCTTTTTTGCACGTACCATTATCACAATAGCTGTTGTGAGAGAGGGCAGAGGAAGCATTCCCAAAGAAATCTCTCTCTCCATTGCAGCTCTGATCGCTATCCCCTCTCTCCCAGCCTGATATCTTACTCTCCCAACCTGCCTGACTCGCAGTGCAGACCAGTCACCCCATTAAACATGCAATCTCAGAGACAACAGCAGAAAGATCAGAATGAGGGGAGGGGATGGAAAGGGTCAAAGGGCCACCTGAACATGTGGGCTATTGGAAAGATCAATTAAATATTCCGTACACACAACAGTCCTCTGTTAAAGCAGGAACAATTCAGCGCTAGCATATTTAGCGCTGTGCAGAGGAGCCTTTTTACTACGAGGAGTACATGGTGTGCAGCATGGGAGTTCGGAATTCTCCGGGAAATGACTTTTCTCAATGACTCTGCGGAATGTGTGTTCATGCTTGTGCATGTGTGCGTGTGCATATTCACATGCTTACATTTTTTTTTAATGCACAAAAACACTACTGTGCAATGGCAATCACTTTCCAACTAGCATGCAAATTGACAGTATGTTTCTTTCTCTATTAAAGAAACAAAATACAGGCGTAAGCAAAGAGAGAATCCCTTAAACAGAACAGTGTTCAGAAACTAGACTAGGAAATGGTTTTCTAGAAGTTAATACCATGTAATTATAAAACCTGTCAGTCAGCAAAGCTACATTTAAAAATGAATATAAGAATGAAAAATACCTTAAAATACACAATTCTAACACGGAGACCTACAAAAAAAATCTAGAAAACTGAGTAACTTTCACTGGATTCATCTTAATAAGAACTTGAAGTTTCAGTCACCTCTTCTAGGAATAAGTCTGCATTGTGAATTGGTTGCCTCAAAATTTACAACCTTTATTTCCACTTCTAAATTCTACCAGTAGGAACATGTCTAAGGCTAAGAACAGAAAGGCCCTGGGAGCAGCCACTTGGAGCTGCTGCAGCACGGCTCCGTCAGCTGGCACACAGGAATCAGAAGGAAGGACAAGGAAACATTTTGTCTTAATTAGAGCCCTGTTTAAATCGCCTCCCTCAGTACAGCATCCAACACGACTGCTCAACAAGACCTGTGTTAGGGAATGTATCGTTTCACACAGCACCAGCAAAAAGAAGTGTCAGCTGATCACTAACTAGCATTATTAAAAAACCCAACTATTTAAAGCAATATTCATTTAGTATAATATTTTCTGAGCTTTCCCACCTAATGATGTCCATTGCCTGGTACACGATTTCAGACTGGTCAACTCCGATCACTTGCTTTGCACCTGCTTTTGCAGCAAACATGGAGAGTATTCCAGTTCCACAGCCAACATCCAAAACCACCTGAAAAGAGTAACACAGATTTATTTCTACCGCTGTTTATTTCCCTAAGGTTTTTCTACATACCTTTTCATACAGAGATATACCCTATTCTAACAGAAGAAACAAAAGGTTGCAGCAAAACTTACCATTATGTCCAAAGCTATTCACAAGTCAAACTATATATAACTCCAAATACTTTATTGCCTTTTACAGATAAAAAAATGAAGCAGACTAGCTCTAGCTGCACATGAACTTACTCACATGCAGAAGAAAAAAGCATTTATTTGGGCAACTACTAAAACGTTATATGTATAAGAAAGATCACAAGTCAGAGATCAGAAAAAAAACTCATAGTACCAGTGAATCACTCAAGCTAACAATTAAATACAAACTATTATGTGGGAGTAATTGTAAGCGAACAGGGCTGAGGAACATTTCTTCCTATTTACTGCTCATGAATAAAATCTACACATTTTCATTTTATGTTCTTTGTAAAGAATTCAGGAACCCTCTGTTAGAAATGGCCACAGTGCCCCAGAACAGCCATGGATCCGATGATTGCATCTCAAAGTAGTGGCCTGGAGAGCTTTAACACTTGAAAATAGGAAGCTGTTTGCTTTCTTGGCCACAAGAACACATGGTTGGCTCCTGTCCAATTTGTCCATCGCAGACCTTGGCTCCTTGTCTGCAGAGCTGCTTCCCAGACAGTTGGCCACAGTCCTGTATCAGCACACAAGGTTTCCCCTCCCTAGGTGCAGGACTTTGCATTTCCCTTTGCTGAACTGCCTAGATTTCCTGCCTGCCTGCTTCTCCAGCCTGTCAAGGCCCCTGTGAATGGCAGATCCCTGTAGAATCAAACCCACAAACCACTGACAGTTAGAACCAAACTTGACAAAACATTCCCAGGCAATAATGTACCCAGCTGATAAAACTCCCCAGCCTATGAGTTATTTAGCAGTCCTGCTTTGGCACAACAGGAACTTGCAGATGCACTTCACTTTTAAATTTCCTCTGACATACAGCATCAGTCTAAGTACCTGAATGCTCTGCACATTAGGCATGCTTACCTGCAGTCCAAACATTCTGATCATGGATACAGCACAAGAACACTCAAGCCAGCCTAAAAGCAGCAGCACAATGCTGGCTTGTATTGTGCTGGAGAAGCCACCGGTACAAAGCAGCAAGTTGACTGCGTTCATAGAGTACTTTACAATCTGGAATCAGGCTTTAAAAAGTAACATGTTCTTTCTGCACATTGCAAGAAGGCATAAACATGAGAAGTTCCAGACACGGAGCTACTTGTTCCACTTGAACACTTCACAGCTACACTGCAGGAGTCAATTCTTTGACCCTTTTGCACTGAGATTTCAGTGTGTAGCAGCAGTTCCCAGGCTGGAGGCAGGAATAGAAAATAAAAGCCAGGGCTCTTGCAGCTGCTGAAATCTCGTGCCCCCTCGGCATCATCTGTTCTAACACCCTACCCATGATAGTTAACAGAACTGCTGAGCCATGAAAGCTGGAAGTCAGAGCCAAAAATAAACCTCTGCAAAAGAACGGTCTTGATGTACAGTCGCACAAAGCAGAGCAATCACCACAAATGAGAAAAAAATTAAAACAGGCACCACTTTGGACAGCTGCCCCAGTCACTTAAAAACCCAGATGGAACTCATCTAACCTGAGCCAGGAGACACCGGTGGCCAGAAAGGCAGGAGAGGAAAATCACACGAGCTGGCACACCTCTGAGAAAGGGAGAGCCAAGCAGAAGGACTCCCAGCTAACCAGGCACAGAGCTCTGCAGCTCACACACTCTGCGCAGCCGGGCTGCCGAGCTGGCTGCACCACGGGACGCGGCAGCACCGCAAGGCCACACTCGCACGCTGCTTTCAGCAACTGCGTAAAGCACGAGATGGGCAATTCAGCCAAATCAGTCTAGTCCATACACGAGCTTTTAATACGGAAAAAATATTTTCCCCTCAACATGGCATTGATGCCTACCTCAGGCTTCTATATTACAAAAACACTCAGACAGCGACATTGTTTTCCTAACCAATTATTCTTTCCAGTCAAAATAGATAAATACATTTTTAAAAATCTGAACTTTTTTTTTTGCTATGTTTTTTTTTCCTGAGCAAGATCACTTTAGCCTTTTTTGCTAAGTAATCTAAATTGTCATATTTGCCATCCTAAGTACATTTGAGTGGTTCGTAACAAAAGCAGCAAGCAGAATTTATTCCAGTTTTTAATCATATATTTTGAAAGCTGAGAGCTAAAGAAAAAAAAAGTTAGTTGGTCCTGCATAAAATATATAGAACAAACAAATCTAATACTCTGTTGTCATCCATTTTGCACAACTGGAGTTCTCTGGGTAAATTTTCATTAAACGCTAGTAAGATCTACCAACCTCTTTCAAATATCCCTCTAAAATAACAGCTGTGAATAGGTTGGGAAACACCAACAAGAAAAAAACCACTGTGTATTTTGTAAGGAGAAATACAATACAGGCTTCTAGGAACTCCCATATGAAACACTGCAGGAATCTAGGAAACATAATATTTGAATGTAGGGTAATTGACAGAGCAGGGGCCAGTGGTCATCAGCCAAAGGCCTTATTAAGTCCAGGGTTTGGGTATTGACTTCACATGTCAGCCCACCAATCCTGGAGCACCTGCAACATGGTGACAATCCTGGATTTAAGTGAATCCCCTCTGCTTCATCAGCAGTTCCTCATGCCTAGTTTTGCAGTCTTCAACAGGTCACTTTTATTAACCTGTTATCCCATATATTCCCACATTTGAATACTCTTCTTCCATTTTTTCAACTTCAAAGTTTCACTTATGAATAAGGTTGGCAAAGCCTTATGTTACACATAATTTAAGTAAAATATCTTAAGCAAAACACCTGAATAGCTGGGGCTTAGAGCAGGTCACCTTCACTTTGTTTTGAATGTCTATCAAAATGTTCACATAATAGAGGAGAAATAATCAACACTCAGAAAATTACCATTCCATTCCATAGTACATTCCAAGTTAAGCCTTGTCCTGGGAAAACCTCTAGCTATAGGTTTAGGGGCATCTCAAACTATCTTGCTGTCAAGATAGTTTTCTGCATTTCTCATTGCTGCCTCCTATGCAGTTTGGTGCACAACCAGCTCAGCTGTGACATCATTCACGTTTTTCCATGGCTGGCAGCATAATGTTTCTGAAATGCTTTGGCTGGTTCTCTCATTAGAACCAGAAGTTTGGCAATCCTTAACAGAAATACACTTGTGACAAGGACAGAAGTAAAAGCTAAGAAAATTCCCTTCCTGATACCTTTTTAGTTGCCAGGAAATCAAAAAATCCACAAAAATCAAAAGAAACAGAGCTATCTACCATGAAATGAAGTATAAACCTCCTACTGCAAAGGCCTAAGAGAATGAGTAGCTCAGAAACTACCAAATTGGTGTATATGTATTACTTTCAAAACTGTCATAAGTCTTGAATTAAAAAGACTTCAGGTCATTAAGGGAAAAAGAAAGAAAAGCCTACAACCCAGAGTGATTTATTTCTGTAAAACATGAAATGCTGTTTTCCCATTAAAATGATCTACACAAAGCTGAAAAACAGTAAGCAGCCAGCAGAGGAAAGCTACGAAAAAGAAAACACAGAACAGAAGGCTTCAGAGTGCATCTCAGAACACAGCAAATTCATTAGAAACAGCCAAGAGAAATACAGAAGAGGAGAATCCTGTCTGGGTATGGGTCATAGCCACATCGATATCATGAACAAAGACAGCACTCATCTCTCCCCATGGTACATGGAATAGTAGCTCCTGATTTCACATCATTTGAGATAGATCACAGGAAAGTCTCTCTGAAATACGTTCTGCTTAAAATACTGGACAAGAAAGGCTTGGCTTAACCATGCCACCATAATTAATGACCACCTCAACATGGCACAAAGAATAATGACAGCATTGATCAGCACTTCTGTTATCAGCACTTCGCACCCTCCAGCAGTGGAACAGCACTCTACCACCTCATAAAGCCAGGGGATGTTAAATCAAATCTTGTCAGTGTGATAGTCCACTCCCAAAACCACAGAGCAGCCAGCCTCAAGGATTTTTATCACTTGAGAAAAAAGAAAAAAGGGGAAAAAAAAAACCTGCAGAAATGACTAGATATTTTGACCTCTTTAACCTACCTTGTCCTTGAAGAGATGTGGGTTTTGGTATATGAAGTCACGATAGCTTTCTGTACGCACTTTATCCTATGAATTAAAGAATAAAAAGAAAGCTCACTTTGCTTATTTATCTACACAATCAAGTTCAAAAAAGATGAAAACCTGCTTTTAACTTGACCCAAGTAGATATTTTCTGGCTACTGTACTTAGAAGGATTCTGCAACTCTGACATATTCCACACTTTCAGTCTTTTAGAATTTCTCGTCTATGTGTATAAAGCCAATTAAGCCTCTGAAGGAAAGAAAAAAAATTACCTTAACACCATTATAACCTGCAGCAGTTCATTTTGGATGTTTCAAAGCATTTAAATCTCTCAGGAATAGCAGCAACAAAGTGCCAACACTACATCAGCTACATAAAACAGCCTTCTATATCATGGCAACAACTTGAGTCACGAGTTTGCAACATCTTTTTGATCATTTTAATACATATTAATTGCCTGACACAGAGCTTCCTTCAAAACAGCTATGGATCACAAAAACCTGCTCTATTTCTGCATAAACTACAACATCACAAACAAGCTAGTAGTTGAAGCTGTATAGCCCATCCTATGAAGCCAAACTAAAAGAAAAAAAAAAAAAAAAAGCATGTGACAAATCATTTGTTGTATCTTAGGAAATGAAAGCTAGCAGCATATCTCAATCCACCAGCATGGTAATAAACTGGTCCTCTTAATACATATCAGCAGGTACATAAATTGACAGCCAACTATAGCTTTTGGAATCCCTGCTGCACATCAAGTGTTAGATACTCCTACCTCGTAAAGGTCATCTACAAGTAGTTCTGAAGTATAAAAACCAAGAGCATATATTTAACTTAGCATAATGCGGCAGGTAAGAAGTTACAAAAACAGTAAGTATTAAAAAAAATACTTATTTTAGTGAGGGAGAGCAAAGTCTATCTCACCAGAAAGAAAAAGGGAGATAGAAATCAAAAATTGAGAACAAAAGACATGTTCATACAAATTATGGAAAGAAACCAAGTTATTTCGCAGCTTTAAAATCCTAAAATCAAAATTAGATTTGGGGGGGATTATCTCCCCATAAGCTGTAATAAAAAGGTACAAGTGATTTTAGAAAATTGTACTGCAGAAGTATGCATAATAAGTGTGACCCAAGATGTCCCGGATCATTTAAAATTATACGGGTTTACTATAATGATATGTTCAGAGCAACTATTTTTAGCACTTCACCTCTGCTGCAGCACATAATAGAATTTGCTGAAGCTACCAAAACACCCCAGAAGGTTCAGCATCAATCGAGAAGGCAGTGAGCTGGAAAGCCTTCAACCTTACACCCTGCCCACTCTGATCGCCTCGGCGCTGCCCCAGCTTAATCAATAAAATTCCAACTGCTGCCTCTACTCTATGCACTGCTGCTCAAGCCAGCCCTCAGTCATTCACTTGAGGTCTCGCTATTCATCAATACCCTTCCCTCATCATTTCCATACAAAGCTTTTCCTTTGGTTTTAGGAGAAAAATGTAAGGAAATTTATGAAGATGATATTCAAGAAGCCCTCAGAGAGAAGCAGTGAAACACTAACCATTTAGTCTACAATTTTCTCCCCACATTTGAAAATTGTAGCAACAGAAACTGTAAGTTTCTGCCAGTAACATGCATAAGAAAAAAAGGGGGGGGGGTTGAAACAAGACAGTGTCAGAAACAGATTCAAAATCCAGATGGCAGGTCTTCTTTTGTAAAGCTTTCCATGCAGCAAATCATTATATTTATATAAAAACAGGTCTCATTAAAAATGAACACCTAACACAGCTAAAAATGCAATGTACACACGATAAAACTGGTGTTTTCCTATGTTTCCTTCAAGAATATCTGTAGAGTACATGATTAAGTGTTCCTAATGTTTCGCGTACAGTGAACAACTTATATTTTACAGGAAGTATTAGGAACAAAGGAAATAGAATCTGGAAAAAAAAATCAGCCCATCTCCTAGGATAAAAACTACTAAGTACAGAAAGGGTTAAAAATGCAGCTGCTCTGCAGTATATTCATGGGCACACAGCCCACTTTGTTCCATCTTTACTGCTTAGCCCGAGTAAGTTGGGGTTGAGCTCACTTTCTAACCTTCAGCATCTCTTCGTGTATCCCATAATGCCCATAGGAGCTGAAGTAAACACCATCCTCATCCTCGTGAAGGTCTGCCACGGCGCTGGCTGATGAGCTGCTTCTGACATCTGCATTCACCACAAAATCCCGAGCAAATTGCCTGTAATCAATTTGAAACACACCCTCGAGACACATTCATGGCACCAGGAAGAGGAAGAGGCAGGAGGGTAAGGGGTGGGAAGGGGCTTGAAAAGATAAGGAATTCCCACTGCAGCGGGGGCTTTTACGGTAACGGAGCTGGCCTAGGCGATAAACGTGCTGAATCTCCCTCTGCTGGTTTCCAGAGCGGCTGCAGGATGATTCCCTCGCAATGAGTCTCTCTGTGTTACCCACCACACACATTTCTTTCTTATTTTAAGCACTAAATACCACTAGCAAAGCATTCACGGTATTTATGTGCCACCCAGTTACTCAATTCAGACTTCATTCTGCTTGTTAAATTGGTCCCTTTCAAACTTTCTTTTATAAAAGCCATACTACAGTGATCAAAATTTACAATGGCCAAACAGAACAGGAGGAAATGGCCACAACTTGTGTCAGGGAGGTTCAGGTTAGGCATCAGGAAAAATTTTCACAAGGAAAGAGTGACTTGGAACGGGCTGCCCAGGGTAGTGGTGGTGCCACTATCCGCAGCAGTGTTCAAGAACCACGCAGACGAGGCCCTTAGGGACACGGTTTAGCAGGGTGGCCATGGCCTTACAGTTGGACTTGATCCTCTTGAAGGTCTTTTCCAATCACAACGATTCTATACCCAAGTCTGCCATGCAGATATGGAGATATGAACTGAACTCATTTGGATAGGAGAGAGAAGGTGGTGAGAGTATCACCATGAGTGGCAGCCTGTAGGCTACCTCTATGCAACTATTTCCTCTGCCCCTAATTTCGGGCTGTTCCATCAGATCTACATCTACCTGCTTTTGTTGCCAGCCCACCTCTGCTGGAGTTAGAAGCCTGTGCTGATAAAGAATAATTAAAGATTCCCTTTCACAACAACTTGACAATTTGGAAAATTAATCCTCAAAGACATAAGAAACCTTGAGACCTGAGAAAAAATTGCAGCCAATGGCTTGAAAATACATATATTTTTTAAATGCTATGGGTGCAAGAGTACAACAAGCAACATAAAACAAAAACAACACAGGTTTTCCAATAGAGCAGCAAAATTCTCCCATTCTTATCACTTGATGCTAATGAATTAATGCAGAAGGTAGACAGTTATATAACAACAGTACTATATGCTGTAAAGTTAGGCAAGTTGGACAAAACTGTCCATTCTTGACATTCATAACTGCTCATAGCTGTCAGAATTTGCACAAATATATGATTTTGGAGTTTGGGATACCTACTTAATAACAAGTAGGCATGCTCAAGACATACAATGGACTCATCAATTTACAAAACGAGCTTTTGCAGCTTTATCTTCCAACAAAAGAACACAACTTATTTTTCCAAGTTTATTAAATACAAATTTTCAGTGTCTGATTGCTGGGGCTATAATCACGAAATAACATGTTTTGAAAGGATTCTATATTGTGTGATTCTCCAAAAATTTAAATATCCCCTTTTATCTATGTACAATATTAATAATCCTTAATAATAATAATAATAATAATAATGTTCCTGCTTTAATGTTCCATTAATAATAATGTTCCTGCTTTTAATGCACTGAAGAACCTACGCTTAAAACCAGAAGTAACAACAAATAGAAAGACAACTCATTAATTTTGTTGAGGGTTTCTCCAAGCTGTAATTGGAATCTGCTACTAGCAACAAACTGAAATTTAGGACCATATTAAGCTTTCCTAAGCATAGTTTTGTAGGTTTATAAAAAAAAAAATCTACAAGACAGAAATTAAAGTGACAGCCTCAACACAGGACAAGGGTTTTATTTAGTCAAATTCTACCACTTCTTTGAATTTCTACATGGTCTTTAGACACGAACATTTCATCTCCTCTAAAATCTTTCAACTGAAATAGCTTCTAGCACTTACTTCATTTTCTGAAGGTCATCCTGGGCTCTAACCAAGGCTTCTTCTGCAAGTTTTGCTCTGTGTTCCGCATGTCGTAGCTGTTCAAGGAGCACTGTGATATCGTTTAACCCATTAGAACGCAAAACATTTGCAGGTTCACAGAGATCATCTATATCTGATGAAATGGAACAAAAATACCTGCCAGTTAATAGTGATGCTCCACAGCAGCTCATATATAACATTGCCATTTTTCTGCTTTTGTCTTCAGACATTTTGCAGTGTAGCCTGCTTTAGAACAAACTACTGAATTTGAAAGAACTAATTGCAGAGTACAACATTGCTCGGTAAAACCAAGTATTCTGGATGTGAGTTCAAAGTTAACAGCTGAATAAACCCAGAGACTAGTTTTAATAAGCTTTGCCCCAATTGATGATTAAAATACTAGGGTGAGTTTAAGCTAAATATGATACTATGTTCTATTTCTCCAGTTACCCTGTACCAAGATTGAAAAGGATGTTTATTGTAAAATGCAAGGAGAAAAAAAAAAGTCAAGCTTTCTTAGTAATTTCATGTTAACTCTTCGTTTTCAAACCAACTTCCTGGACTATTACAAAGCTTCTGAACACAAAAAAACCCGAAAGATTTCATCATAGTTCCATTCTACTTGAGCTAACACCTTTAATCAGCAAAATCCAGACTCAACACTGAGTCTAGTTCATCTCTTGCTAAATTTGGCTAGCGATTTCAACAGAAACCAGTGGACTAGAAAATAGCATTAGTGTGCTTTTGGATCAAGTAAGAAGTTGCTTTGGGCATGCCAGGCAAAAGGATTCACTTAAATGGAAGACAACTTCGCCCACTGTACAGAAACAAAGCACTAAAGCTTACAATATGATCTTGAGAGCATCTACAAATCCTGGCAATTTCCAATGCAACCGAAAGCAGCGAGCACCTAAGATTATGTCTCTGCATTTCTAGCGTGTATTGCTTGTCTAAGCTGTAAATGGACAATGAAATATGAAATCCCTGCAGTAAACAAACAGCAATATCTGTCTGCTTTACCATGCAGCAAGACCAAACCGCATTCCCAGCTGCACCAAGAAGAAACCTCCACTCCTAAATGGCTACTGTTTTACATGAAAGGGGTGTGTGTGGAATGCACAAACAAGTGCCAAATCATAAGAAAGTGGAAGGATCATGGGCAGCAAAAACAAGTACAAAAATCGTGTTATACTCTCTCAGGACTTCAAACTCTTCTGAGGAATTATCACAAAAGAAAATGTCTAGTTGTTTATGCAGATAATTAGAATCACCCAAAAAAAAACAGTTTTCAGTGCTACTGTAGTGGAATGTTATACTTGGTTGGTCCAAAAGACAACCTGCCTAAACGATGAAGACACTTTCAACAAGACAAATTATTTACTACTGCCTCTTGAATGCCTCTGACTTTTGATACCTAATTGTAGATTACTAAAAGTTTAAGCTAAAATCTTCCAAATGATTTTGGATAAAGTCCCTCTTTGACCTGCTTAACTTAATTATGAACATCCCATTTATATTAAGCAAACACAAATAATAACACAGGACTCCAGAAATATCAGTCATTAAAAGCTACCATGTCATTTTCTGGCAAAATTTTCAAAAAGTGCCTCGAAAGTGACTTAATATCATTACTTCGGTAACTAACAGCATTAAATACCTATCTGACATTATTAAATAGTGACAATGCATCACTATTTATCATGTATAACATGAAATCTGCTGACACCCATACCACAGTACAGTCATATGGCAGTATTCATTTTACCAAACTGAAGTAGGAGATCATCTTCCAGCTCAGGTTTTAAGTATTCCTCTCCTTCCCAGGGGAGCGGGCTGCTGAGCGAATTCAAATATGCCACAGTTGGTTTCTAGATATAGCAAAAAAACCAAAAAGTGAACAAAATCTGACATCTGAGAAGCTAAAGACCAAGAAGACCAGGTCAGGCAGAGCAGACTCTTAGAAAGTGAAGCCCACCTTCCTATCGGGAACCAAGGTTGCTCAGGTGTGTGACTGCGGCAGGCCCATAGATCATGACAGAAACAATAAGGCCAAGATCCAAACTGCGCAAACTTCTCAAACAACAGTGCATTAGGCAGAAACTTGGAAAGTCCGGACTTCCCTGAGTCCTCCCAGTTAATACTTTTTAGGGAGAGAAGTCATATTCTGGACCTCCTTTTTTCTCCCCTATTTTTTTTTTTTAAAGTTATGCCTTAAACAATTATTTGAAAGTTTAAGTATGGGAAATAGCGTACATACACTTAATAGTGATAGATGCTATTCAGTCTAAATCTAAACATTTAAGGAACAATAAATTTCAAAGCTGCAGTATACACAAGATGCACTCGGGTCTAACTAACTTTAGGTTCCCACTTGCTCTCCTGATTCTTGAAGATAAATTTTAGGTTCATCGAAGGACCGCGCGTCATCTAAAGGTCCAAGTGTCATCCCTTCCACCAAGATTATAGGATTCTGTTCTGCCTAGACCCCCAGGGAAGGAAGACTCTTCTGTACCAGGACACGTACAAGAGCTATGAAGCTTCAGCTGCCACGAAGCAAATCCAGTGCTGGAACCAGATGGGCAAGTTACAGGTCACAGATGAGTTAACAAAACAACATGACATTACCTAGTGTGGGCTTTTTCTAAGCCTGAAAATTGCTCTTTTGAAATCAAGAAAACCTCCAGCAATTGAATACATTTAAAACAATTTCACAGCTAAAATACTAACCAAACAACTACTTTAATAGTTATAAACCAAACAACTACTTTAAACAAGTTTCCTTGATTTCTTAAATGTAGAAGTATAATACAGAATTTCATGCAGTTACATAGGAAAAAAAAAAAGGTAATTTTAAAGCAGGGCATTTTGATTTCTCATTCTGCAAATGCAGACCATGGAATATGTGGCATACCTACCTTCAGTCTAATAAAGTTTATTAGTTTAATGTATCCATAAAAGTCGAGTCCTGAAAAAAAAAAAAAAAAAAAGCAGCTTATGTCACAGGAAACCACATGTTTTACATGGCATTTTTCTGGCTTTTCTCTCTTTAGCTCTAAACACGAAATTTTCAGTTAGTAGGAATATACTTGTCACAAATTAATAATTGAACACATGCAAACTTGGCAGCCATCTCCTTTATTCAGCAAACAACTCTACATCAAGACAGCCACATGCATCTACTATAGTGCAACCTTAATCACTGCTCTCCTGTTGCGCATCTTCATTTATATTTTCAGCTTTCTACTTAAGTAGAATCAATTTACTTTTTCAAATATGCACTTTCCTCAAGAACAGCAACGAGCACTCCACCCTGCAGCTACCACATACCTTTAAAATATTTTCCATTGGATTTTAGACTGGAAACAGACCAACTTTACAAACATATAGACTTTTTTTTTCCCCTAAACCCTCTGTGTGCTTCCCATCCTCTCATCTCTCTCTCCTTTTTACTGCACACTTCTGAAGTAGTATTTCTTCTATTCCAATTTTGTTCTCCTACCTCCCAGTTTTCCTCTATGGCCTGCATGTTTGACTGGCTCAGGTAAATCTAAGAGAAGGCAGGGACTCAGCACAAGCCAGCAGAGACCACTCCTATCAATAGTGGAGATTTTTTTTATCAGAGTATAAAATACACAAGCAATGGCAAACAAAGATAAGCATTTTTCCATAATAACTTGCCATTTCAATCTTTGACTTCTCAGCCACAACAACTAGAAAAACTGTTAAAAAAAACCTCTCCTTCATAATTTATTTAAAAAAGATGCCAATACACATGTGAAAAAGACCCCAGAAAATCACAGAAGGAATTTACCATTCTTCCTGATCACATCACCAACTTCAAACTGATGTTCTATTTTGCAATGGCAGAATACATCTTCAGCAGAACTAAGCCACCTGTAAATAATTATTCAATAAACAGCATTAATATGGCAGCATTTAGAATTTGTAACTTTCCTGTAAGTTTTATTATACTCTGCTCTGACTTGCTGGCAAGGAGTTCACAGTACTTTTATTTATTTATTTATGAAAAAGAATGAGCAGGTGTCTATCTATTCATACAACCCCCTCCTCCCCCAAAGAAAAAATGAGTTTTATGATAAAGCATTTTGCAGACCAAACATGATAAAGAAACACATTAATTTTGTTTCACAGTATTGAGGTCCTCTTAACTCCACCAGAATACTTCACAGTAAAGGCTACACCCCAGATATAAAAACTGCACACACAAATTTGTTTACCAGCATTGAAGTAAATCTTCTCTGCTACTTATTGACTATAAGAAAAAACAACAGACATCAAGAGATAAGCTGCTATATTGTTTCAGGATGCAGAAGGGGAAATTCCTTTTTCTTCTTAACATTTCTCCCTCCTTTAATTTAGATTCAACAGACTTTGGAGCACCTAAAGTGCTCAGAATCTTTAGAGCTTTGACCCTGAAGACTACAAAAGAGGACAGAGCTTCAAGATACCCACAGATGTCTTTTCTACCTCGCTTAGCCTTTACAGGTCGAACTCGAGCATTTATACGGACTATATTTTGGGGGCTGAGAGTCCCTCAGGGCTCCCGTCGCCGTTCTCACCGGTCGCAGAAGAGGCAGCGAGCCTGCGGGCGCTCTGCGGAGCCCTCCTCCTCCTCCCAGGCCTCCTCGCCGTCGGACAGCTCAGGCATCTCCTCGTCCTCGTCTTCCTCCTCCGCAGGCGGCCGCCTGGTCCCTGCCAAGCCCAGGAGGGGAACGTTAGCGACGGAAAAGACGCGGGGGGAAGCGCCCAGGTACCCTCGGGAGCC